GAAATAAATTCGAAGCAGCAGAATCTGTTGCAGGGCCTAAAAAAGGAAAAACAAATAAATAAATAATAAATAAATAAATAATAAATAAATAATAAATAATAAATAAATGATAAATAAATAAATAAATAAATAGGAGCTTTCTTGTTCTTTCTTTTGTTGCTGTTTTTATTTACTTTTCAGCATTTATTTGTTTGCTGCAGTCAAAGCAGCTGCTGCCCAGTTTAAGCTGCATGCATTAACGAAGAATATAAAGTTAAACCCTAAACCCTAAACCCTAAACCCTAAACCCTAAACCCTAGAGCTTCCTACTTTGCGCGGATTTGTCTTTAAGTCGGCGCAGCTCTTCCATTCGCTGAAGCAAAGCTGTCCTTTCCTCCTCCTCTTCCTGCAGCCGCAAAACCCTAAACCCTAAACCCTAAACCCTAAACCCTAAACCCTAAACCCTAAGCCCCAATTCACTCGCGTGGGCGTTTTCAAGGGCTTTAGTAAACGGCGCCAATGCGCCGCTTGGCGCTCTCCACTTCATTTAAATTTAAATTAAATTGAAATAAAAAAAAGAAATAAATTGCAAAAGTGATGCAAACAAATAAAGCGCAGTGGACTCAACACGCAGGCCCTGAGGTGTACGTACACCCCACCTGCCGCCGGGTGTACGGAACCCCGTGGTAAATCCATTCATTAAAATTAAATTTGTTTTCTTGCAAAAACTTCAAAGTCGAAGTCGAGGCCTGCCAGTAGTGACAAAAACCAAATCCCACACAGACTGCAGCTAGCTAGCTAGCTGGCTAGCTGGCTAGCTAGCCAGCCTGACAGCTAGCTAGCTACATGGCAATGCAGCCAACTGGATCTCTAGCTATCTGGCTCTCCACTAGCTCGCTAGCTGGCTAGCTGGCTAGCTGGCTAGCTAGCTGGCTGGCTAGCTAGCCAGCTGGCTAGCTAGCTCGCTGGTTAGTTAGCTAGCTCGCTCTCCAGCTAGCAAGCTAGCTAGCTAGCTAGCTGGCTCTCTCGTGAGCCAGCTATCTGGCCCTCTAGCTAGCTAGTTGGCTCCATAGCTAGCTAGCTAGCTGCCTAGCTAGCTAGCTAGCTAGCTAGCTACGGAGCCAAGTGGCTAGCTAGCTAGCTAGCTAGCTAGCTAGCTAGCTAGCTAGCTAGCTGTCAGCTCACCTGGAAGAGGCGGGGCTGGTTGGGGAAGAGGTAAATGCTGGCGGGGGTCAAAATCCACCTGCTCGGGTCCGACGCTAAAAACAAGCAGCAGCAGCAGCAGCAGCAGCAGCAGCAGCAGCAGCAGCAGCAGCAGCAGCAAGTGAACAATGAACGCCAGAATCAAGCAAAAAAGGCCCAATCAAATGCCTTGGCCAGCAAAGCCAAGCAAATAATTAAAACCAAAAATAAACAAAAGTTCTAATCACAAAATAAAAGAAATAAAATTAAAATAAACAAAAACTTTTCCCCACAAAAACCACCACTAAAAAACACAGCCCAACTGCTGCCTCAAACCCCACAAAGCAAATACAGCGGCCCCACACCTGTGGGGCCCCACTGTGAGGCCCCTTGGGGGCTCTTTGGGGGCCCCTTGGGGGCCCTTTGGGGGCCCCTTGGGGGCCCTTTGGGGGCCCTTTGGGGGCCCCTTGGGGGCCCTTTGGGGGCCCCTTGGGGGCCCTTTGGGGGCCCTTTGGGGGCCCTTTGGGGGCCCCTTGGGGGCCCTTTGGGGGCCCCTTGGGGGCCCTTTGGGGGCCCCTTTGGGGCCCTTTGGGGGCCCCTTTGGGGCCCTTTGGGGGCCCCCCAGGGGCCCCCAGGGGCCCCCCAGGGGCCCCCTAGGGGGCCCTTTCGGGCCAGTGGGGCCCCACAGGGGCCCCGGGGGGGAGCTGGGTGTGTGGTTCTCGGAAAGGCAAAAAGAAGGGGAAAAAGGGGATTTGGAAAAGAAAAAGAAATGAAAAAGAGGACTTTGAAGAAGAAATGATTTGAAGGACAAAAGAGAGGCTTAAAGGGATTAAAAAGGACTTAAAAAGCTTCAAAAAGACTCCAAAAGACCCAAAATGGCGAAAAAAGATTCCCAAAGAGACAAGTGCAGCCGGCGAAGCCGGAAACAGCCAAAAAAGGTCCCGCGGAGGCCAAAAAGGGAAAAAGTGGAAACTTTGAAAAGGAAAACAAAAAGAAATAAAAGACACAAAAAGGGGCCCCCAAGGGGCCCCCAAGGGGCCCCCAAGGGGCCCCCAAAGGCCCCAAAAAGGCCCCAAAAAGGCCCCAAAAAGACCCCAAAATGGCCCCAAAAAGACCCCACGCACCCGCCCGGCGCGCGGCGCAAAGCCCCAACTGAATGGGCAAAAAGCTCTGAGCCCCAACGGCCTGCGCGCCGTAAGAAGAGTCCAGGCCCAACAGCTTCTCGCCCTTGCCAGGAAGGCCTGCAGCACACACCTGCTGCTGCTGCTGCTGCTGCTGCTGCTGCTGCTGCTGCTGCTGCTGCTGCTGCTGCTGCTGCTGCTGCTGCTGGTGCTGGGGG